TTAATATTATATTACTATATTAATATAATATTAATATTCAGAGAGCATCTGAAATTAACTGAAAGTGAGAAACTCCAGGGTGGCTTAAAGTGATTTGACCCCACACCAAGTTTATATAGGACTTTGAAAATCTGTAAACTACAGGAATAGTCAGCAGGTAGGACATTTTAGGGGGAAACAGAAGGAATGGGCAGGGCATTTCTCCCCAGAGATCTTCCTCCATGGCAACATTACACTACCAAAACTTGGGACATGTGATTTGGTAATTGGTTTTTGTTGTGCTCTCGGAAGGAAGTGGAAGGAAATCGAGGCACACTATGTGCCTTGCTTGTTTATCTCAATACAAAACCTTAAGAGGTAAATCCTATTGCTATTCTTATTTGCTAAGGAAGATACTAAAGCTCAGAGATGTTAAGCCATTTGCACAAAGGTACACAGTGAGTGTAGTTTGGAATTGGAAATATTGGGATTTCGGTTTATGGTGACAATGAACAAGACATTTAAAATTGGTACTGACTGGAACGCCTGGGTGGCTCAGTTGGTTGAGTGTCCAACTTCTGTCTAGGTCACGATCTCACACTGTGAGTTCGAGCCCTGGGTCAGGCTCTGTGCTGACAGCTCTCAGCCTGGAGTCTGCTTCGGATTCTGTGTCTGCCTCTCTCTCTGCTCCTCCCCTGCTAATGCTCTGTCGTGCTCTCTCTCTCTCAAAATAAACATTTAAAAAATAAAAATAAAATAAAATAAAATAAAATAAAATAAAATAAAATAAAATAAAAATGGTACTGACTGAGGAAATGTGGGCAGTATTGTTTCCAGCCATGGTGGGGTAACTTTCTTGAGAAGATGTAGGAACCCAAATTGATCTACAATGCCCAAGGAGATAAGGAAATCCTCAAAAGATTCTCAGTGCCTAACTAGTTCTTTGGGCTTAACATGACAGGGAAAGGTGATTTCTTTTTCTTTTCCATTAGGTAAAAGTCAATACTAAATTGGTTTTAAGTACAGAAACTTTGCCTCCACTGTGTGGTTTTCACTTAAGGGAGTCACTGTTAGCTCTGAGACTGTTTTATGGAGGAGTCCATTATATCCAGTCACTCCCCTGAACTAGGTCTCAGGCTTGGAGGGAGCTTGTCTTTAGAAGTCCACACTAGCAAGGAGACCAGGGGTCTAGGCAGGGGTGCTGGCCTTGGGGGAGGTCCTGGGGGCAGGGCTGAGATTCTCAGGGACAGGCTCCTTACCACCTGGCGTGGGACCTGACCACATACAGCAAGGCACCACGAGGGGGAGCACTCGGAATATAGACAAGAAGAAAGACAACCTCAGAACACTGGCATGTCTGCAATTAGAGTGTAACTGGCTGGGCAGATCCGATTTGATATACAAGAATTGCCCTTTCTTGCAATGTTTAAGAACATACAAAAATTAAAGGCAACATAAATGACGGAAATAAATTTGTCAGCTTTATAAACCTTAAAGCCCACTTTCCACATCTTCCAAGAACTACATGTGAAGACAGACAAGTAAACAGGTAAATTATAGTCATCCCCCAGAGTAGAGACCACATCCTAATTCACCCGCATCTAGTGTAATGTCTGTCCCATCACAAGTACCCAATAAATAGCTGTTGAAAGAAGGAATAAATGAATGAACAGATGGATGAGACTTTCAGTCTTCAGTAAGGATCAACCAGTGTCTTTTCGTTAAACAAACAGAAAGCATTCAGGTAGACCTGTTAACAGCTAGGGGCACAAAGAAAGAGTAAAGAAGTACATCAGAATACGCATATTTTAAAAATCAGCTAAGGTACACATAGAGTTATGAAATGGAAATAGGACATTTGTTTCTTTTTTTAATTTTTAATTTTTTTTAATTTACAGCCAAATTAGTTAGCATATAGTGCAACAATGATTTCAGGAGTAGATTCCTTAGTGCCCCTTACCCATTTAGCCGATCCCGCCTCCCACAACCCCTCCAGCAACCCTCAGTTTGTTCTCCATATTTATGGGTCTCTTTTGTTGTGTCCCCCTCCCTGTTTTTATATTATTTTTGCTTCCCTTCCTTATGTTCATCTGTTTTGTCTCTTGAAGTCCTCATATGAGTGAAGTCATATGATATTTGTCTTTCTCTGACTAATTCCACTTAACATAATACCCTCTAGTTCCATCCACGTAGTTGCAAATGGCAATATTTCATTCTTTTTGATTGCCAAGTAATACTCCATTGTATATATATATACTACATCTTCTTTATCCATTCATAGGATATTTGTTTCTACTTTTTAATTAGGAAGCCCTGAAACTCATGAATGAAGTTCAGGAACATCTGGAAGAAGAACAAAGTCTATGCCAGGTGTCTTTGACAGATTCCTGGGACGAATGCAAGTCTTGCCTGGAGAGTAACTGCATGAGATTTTACACAACCTGCCAATCTAGCTGGTCCTCTATGAAAAATACGGTAAGGGAAAAATAGAGCTCAAGGTTTCAGAATACTTGAGGTACATACTCCAGCTTAATTTTTAAAAATTAATTTATTTTACTATTTAGAATAGAAATGCCTGACCTGATATTGGCCTTTTGTGACCTAGAATCTAACATTCATGCTATGTACAAATCACCTGTGTATATTCAAATTACAAGATAAAACAGTCATTCAGTGTTCATCTCTCCCTTTAAAGACACGGTGTATATCCCTCTTGGAAATATCCTGAATCTTTCTGTCTTGTATTTGTCCTTTGTGAATACGTTCCCACTAGATTGTAAGCTCTTTGAGGGCAGGGACCACATGTTAGCTGTCTTCATTTAAGCATTAGGTATCTAATAAATGTTTGCTGAATTTCATTCTAAATAATAGTATTATAGTCTCTGATTTCAACCTGCTTTAATATTTTCCCTGGAGGCCAAACATTTGAAGACATCCTCTGCCTCCTGAATCTCTCCTTCAATAGGCTTGCCCTCTTACAGCAACACACACATATGCACACATTCATGCCCTCTTTAACCATATCTATGCATTCCCTATAGGACTGGCATGTTTGTTTGTTTTGTCCCCTTTGGCTATCTGTCTGGGCAGAGGGAATCACAGAGGGTGGTGACCTGAATAGGATAAGCTCTACCCCATAAAAGTCTCCTATTCTATTGGCCTGAATTTCTCTTCCCATTTGAGACGTGAGCTGAATATGAAATGCAATGAAATTTCCCTCTCTATATTACAGCATGCACTACTTACAGTAGGCTCCTGGCTTGGCAATGCCATACCCAGTTATAGAGGGAGCAACCCCTAGGACAATTCATTTGCCAAGTTAATTTGCCTCCACTGTTAATTGCATCTGCTCTATTTTTATAGCCATTGTCACTCTCCAATATACCGGAAAACAGTGGAATGAGCACTGGCTGGAAGTCAGAGATTTGGGAACCATTCCTGTCTGTGCCAGTTGTGTGACTTTATGAAAATTTCTTGGGGCTTTGAAGTTTGTTTTTGTGGATGGATTCAGGCAAATACAAGCTGGCAGAGAGAGGGACAGACAATCCACCCAGATTACTTTTTTTTTTTTCAAGTTTATTCATTTTGAGAGAGAAAGAGAAAGAGAGACAGAATCCCAAGGAGGTTCCATGTGGTCAGCATGGAACCTGACACGGGACTTGATTCACAAGCTATGAGATCATGATCTGAGCCAAAATCAAGAATTGGACACTTAACTGATTGAGCCACCCAGGGGTCCCAACTCCCACCCCGGCCCCCACCCAGATTACTTTTTGAGAAAGGCAAGAATAATATAAGAATTTCTGGGGATTTCTTTGAACAGCATTGGGATACTACATCTGTGATGTCTGATAGTTGGTATGCTCCATAGCTTTCAACATGGCCACAGTGCTACCATATAAGGACAATTGTGTTCTAGCACAAACCTGGAAGTCATATGGATGTAGGGCATGGTGTGACTCCTGGAAAATATTCTCCCACTGAGTGTAAAATTCTACAATTAGAGATTCATTTCTTTGACTCTAGCCAAAGAGGGCTTTGATCACTACTAATATGTAACCATCCCTAAGTAGCCTATTTAACTCTATCAGGCATCTATAATTCAGTATGAATGTGTTTATCTTTTCCTTTCCATGGACTAATTTATGAGACAAGAAAGAGAAGACCATAAAGTCACTAACAACATTACGCTAAAGGAAACAAACCAAAAAAAAAAGCCCCCAAAACAAAAAAACCCCAAAAACAAAAAACCCTAAGACAGAGATGAAAGGCAAGAGCTTTTTTCACAGTTTTGGGGCAACCTACACAGTACCCTTTAAACCCTGACATGCCAGCCTCTGCCGCTACATCAGGCTGTGGCTTGCCAACAATATTAAAAACTTGGCCTTTGGTAGGCAAACATAAACAAGGAAGAATTTCAGATCCTATTTCCACAAACAAAGTCAAAGTTATAAGAGTGTTAATAAATTATCTTAAAAAATGAGTCACCTTTTCCTACCTTGCCCAGAATTATTTTTGATTTGGAATGACCACTGCAAGTTGACTTTAAAATTTACACTAAGAAATGGTCCATGTCAATTGTCCTTCCATTTAAAAAAAAATAATAAAGTTGATTTTTAAAAAAGAAACAGTCTAGAAAGAAAATTAATCTCTTATTCCATTTCTATCCTCCACCTCACCCCACAGGTCGAACAGTTTTTCAGGAAGATGTATCAATACTTGTTTCCTTTCCATGAAGATAATCAAAAAGATCTCCCTGTCAGTGAAAAATTCATTGAGGAGGACGCACAAGTGGCCCAAATAGAGAATGTATTCAGCCAGCTGACCGTGGATGTGAGATTTCTCTTTAACAGGAGTCTTAACGTCTTCAAACAGATGCAGCAAGAATTTGACCAGGCTTTTCAATCATATTTCATGTCAGATACAAACTCCACGCAGCCTAGCTTTCTTCCGGTTTTATCCAAAGAACCAGAGAAAAAAATGGATCCTGTGCAAAGTTGGGACATTCCCAGCTTCTTCCAGCTGTTTTGTAATTTCAGTCTCTCTGTTTATCACAGTATCAGCACGGCAGTCACCGAGACGCTGAATGCAATAGCAGATTTACCAAAGCAAGACAAAGGCAAGTATTAAAAGATGATTTTTACTTAGATGTCAATACTAAGGTCAAGCTTTGTTTATCTTTGGAAATGGTAGACATTTCTAAGTCATTGTACAATGTTTCTTAGAGTGACAATTTATGGATAATTGACGTTTCAGAGCCTCTTAGAGAAAGCTTCGAAGTCTGCCAAACACCATCCCTCTTCCGTCATTGTCAATAGCCCTGTGGGGCTGTTCTGTCTTTCTAAAGCATGTTTTCAAAGCTGATAAGGAAAATGCTAGCAGGGTGAGAAAGTTGAACAAAATGGTTGCCCCCTTTATCAAAACTTGTGTATATATGCTCTGCTCTATTCTGCCTGAACATCACGGGGCTTCTTTAAAATCAGTCTAGACTCCTCAACTCACAGTTTGGGAAGAAGCCTAGTGTCACATATAACCAGTGCCCTCCATAGTGCCCTCCATAGCCTCCTCTGCATCACTGCCGTAATCCTTTAAATCATAACATTTATGCACAAAGCCATAGAAGATGCTTATAGAGAAACCCAAAGCTACATAATCAGAATTTCTGTAAAGGATAAGAATTGCCTTCTACCAATACCAAACATGCCCCAAGATAGACCATGTTGGAAACAAAATGCTGCAGTGTGTCTTCAGACAGAAGGAGGTACCTTCCTCGGGTTTCTGTGGAGTGGCTGGGACACAGCATCTTAGAAATGAGAGCTGCTGGGTGGGCCAAGGTAGGGTTTACATTCCCTTAGATTTATGTCTTATGGACCACAGAGCCACATGAAAGAATGCACCCCTCTGGCATGAAAAATAAAGCGAGCTCCTTCTAGAGGCTCCTTCTGCCATTTGTGACAACATGGATGAACCTGGAGGACATTATGCTAAGTGAAACAAGCCACACACAGAAGGACAAATAGTACATGATACTGCTTAGATGAGGAATCTAAAACAGTCAAAGTCATGGAAGCAAAGAGTAGAATGATGTTCCTGGAAGCTGAGTGGAGGGGGACATGGGGAGATGTTGGTCAGAGAGCAAAAAACTTCCGTTACATAAGATGAGTGAGTCCTAAACATACAAGTCCAACTGTGCAGAATAGTGCCTATTGTTAAACACACTGCACTGTATACTTGAAAATTGGCTAAGAGAGTAGATCTTATGTTAAGCATCGTTAATAATAATAATGACAATAATAATAAATAAATAAGAGGGCAGGAGGACATTTTTGGAAGTGATGGATAGGTTTATGGCATAGATTGTGGTGCCAGTTTCATGGGTTTATACTTCTCTCCAGACTCTTCAAGTTGTATGTGTTAATCACGCAGAGCTTTTTGTATGTAGAAAGAAATGGGCTCCTTCTAGCTATTTTCCAGTTATATCAGCTGTAGCTGGCAACATCTGAATCAAATTCTCAAAATTGCCATGACACGGCATCACTGGTCTCTATACAGAAGAGTATAGAGCTACCTCACAGTACCAGAAACCAAAGCCAAAAAACAATACATGACATCCTTCCCGTCCCATTGTTCCATGAGTAGAGAACAGCCATCATTACTGGAATCATTGCTGGGTTCTATTTCAGGGTCTGGAGGACTTTTCTTGTAAGTCAGGTGTTTTCTCTGGTATTCTATTCTGAGGTCCCAAATTCACTAATATTCAGGAAAAGCATCAAGGCAGTAGACTAAATATATCAATGCTAGAGTGATATTAAGTAATTTTTGCCTGAACTTTTAAATAGATATCATTGTTTGTGTTCATTAGAACAAAATAGTGCCCCTCCCCCATCTTTCACATTGTGTGCACCCTTATATGTGGATGCACATCCTTATACATGTGCAGAGGAGTATATAGTGATTCATCTGCACTGAAATCTAAATAACTTTCCAATCACTACAACCCCCTCCCACCCCACCAAGTAAGAATGTAGGTTTCCACCAGTTCTGCCCCAGCTTCCACTCCATTCACACACACTCTGCTCAGCTGGCCCTCTGCACAACCCCCACCTTGGTGATAACCGGCATATCCAGAGCCTCCTGTAATGCAAACGTAACGTAAATGCAAGTATGAAAAACAAAAACAAAAGGGCCTGTGATACACCTTTCAACTCTTCTTTCTCTGCTATCCCTACCCTACCTGACAGCACAGAGCTAGCTCAGCAGAAGAGACATTCTCTTCTCGGATAAGCACATGCAGACTATCTATCAAAAATAGTCAGGGAGGGGCCATAGGGTACTTGCAAGCAATTTCCATCACTTTTCTGGACAGGTGGTAGGTGAGGAATAAACCTAATGTGCCTGCACAGTCTGCCTAATGAGAAGACATTTTGAGCTTTGTCCCTGTGTAGACAGAATAATAGCTGCCCAAAGATATCTACACCCTAATCTGCAGGAGCTGTGAATATGTTGTGTTACGTGGCAAGGGGAAAGTAAGGTTGTAGATGGAATTGAGGTGCTGGTCAGCTGATCTTAAAACGGGGAGATTATCCTGAATTATCCATGTGGCTACGAGGGTTCTTCAAAGTGGGTAAGAGGGGCACCTGGGTGGCTCAGTCAGCTAAGCGTCTCTTAATTTCAGCTCAGGTCATGAACTCATGGTTCATGAGAGCCAGCCCCACGTCAGGCTCCACGCTGAGCATAGAGCCTGTTTGGGATGGTCTCTCTCCCCCTCTGTCTGCCCCTCCCTGCTCACATGCAAGTTTTTTTTCTCTCTCAAAAAAACTAATAAACATTTTTTAAAAAGCGGAAGAGGGAAGCAGAACAAAACCCATAGAGATGGTAATATGAGAAGGCCCCTACTTTGCTGCCTTTGCAGGTAGAGGAAGAGGGCCATGAAGTAAGGACTATAGTTGGCCTCTAGAAATTGGAAAGGCAAGGAAATAGATTCTCCCCTAGAGCCTCCAGAAAAAAAAATCCCCTGCCAACACCTTGATTTTAGGCCAGTGAGACCCATTTCAAACTTCTGACCCACAGAACCAGAACATTTGTATTATTTCAAGCCACTACATTTGTGGTATTCTGTTACAACAGCAACAGGAAATGAATACAAGCCTCTTGTCAATTACGATGGCCAACATTGCCTGAGTGAGCACTGTGTATCTGGCAACCTTCATGGATGGGTTTTATTTGTCATGATTGTCCTAAGTGCTAAAATTAGAAAAGTAGCTAAAATTGAATAATGAATACCATTAAAAGGAAAGAGGCAGCAATAAAAATTCTGAAATATTTTGGTTATTAGTATTTTTTTCTTTGATTGAGCGTGATTTCATTTTTGTCTCCATATGGGAGAATTTCTTTCCTACCTCAATCTTTCTAGACCTAAGTTCCTACTGAAAGAGAATAAAATAGCTCTTGCAGTTGTCCTCACTTGCCTCATGAATCCCTGGCAAGGATAGATGGCGTTGAATGAAACTGTGTGGTGCAGTAGCCTGATGCAATGCTGGTTGCTGGGAGATATGAGCTCTAATCCCACATTGGAGAGTGTTGCTGCCTTTAATTTTCCCTCTGACTGGGGTGGGGAGACAGGCAAGTGGGGAGAGGAGATGGTTGCTATGAGTGACAGCACTGGAAGTAGCTGCCTAGAAGGGTCTAGAGCTCAGTGATGGGTTACTGTCATGCCATGGCACAGAATGAGGAACTGGTATCACATGGGCCTGGAATTTGCCATCCCCGATCTACACACCAGGTGTTCAACTAGATGCTGGGAATAAGACCATGATTATGACACAGCTCCCTGACTTTTAGGAGCTCAGTCCAGAGAAAGGAAAACAGATCAGTGGACAGCTACAAGACCATTGTAACTGAAATGACAGAAAAAGGTATGGAAGAATGACATGATTCAAATGATAAGACCAAATTCCTTCCCTCAACGGGCTCAGGGTCTAACAGAGAAGGTAAAAAAGCAAACAGTACATGAAGCAGAGACAAGCTCTACAGTAGAACTCCTCAGTGACTACAGGGGACCGTTCAGGAAGGCAGCTGAGAAGAAATGACTTCCTATTCAACAAAAGGAGATGGTTGCCTTATACACCACATGATGTAACCAATGCCTCAGAGGTTTTTAAGCAACAGATTTCACAATTTATCTCAAAATGAAATGTTTTGTTTTAAAATGTTGATGATTCAATATAGGAGAAAATCATTGGGTTGTAAATTAGTAATAAATGTTTCCTAATGTGAAACACTCAGTTGAGAACTGTCAATTTTCTGTTGGATTTACTTCTTTTTCACGTCATCATTTTCATATGGATTATTAGTTCTTCCAGAAAAAAAAAGGGTTTCTCAAAAGTTGACCTGCTTTAGATGTTTTCCTAAATTCTTGATCCATTGTTTATAACACCATATATATGAAATGCAAAAGGAATAGTAATAAAGTAAATGCCTACCACCCAGTTTTAGAAATAGATATTCCCAGTGCCTTTGAAACTCCAATGTATTTCCCAATTTTGGCTTTAAAAGATTAAAATAATTATTAGAAAATTTTTTAAAATGTATAATATTTATTTATTTCTGAGACAGAGAAAGACATACAGACAGATGGACAGACAGAGTGTGAGTTGGGGAGGGGCAGAGAGCAAGGAGACACAGAATCCGAAGTAGGCTCCAGGCTCTGAGCTGTTGACAGAGTCTGACGCAGGGCTCGAATTCACAAACCGTGAGATCATGACCTGAGTCAAAGTTGGACACTTAACTGACCAAGTCACCTAGGAGCCCCTAGAAAAATTTTTAAATAGAAAGAAATCCAAAGAGAAAAGCAGCTTACAACTCCCTATTTAGTCAATCCATCGACATCAGAAATAAAAATAATAAAAGTAAGACACACTAAATTTAAAATAATTCAAATGTAGGGGTGCCTGGGTGTCTCAGTCAGTTAAGTGTCTGACTCTTGATTTTGGCTCAGGTCATGATCTCACAGGTTCATGAAATGGAGCCCCACATCAGGCTCTGTGCTGACAGCGCAAAGCCTGCTTAGGATTCTGTCTCTCCCTTTCTCTCTCTGCCCTTCCCCTGCTTACACTCTCTCTTTCTCTAAAAAATAAATCAACATTTTTTTAAAAATTAAAAAATAATTCAAATATATAAAAGAACAAAACAAATGAAAGCTGCCCTCTCACATCCCATCAAGTATGTCTTCCCAAAGATTCCTCATAATTCCCTCCAGAAAATAAAGCCATATGCATTAACCTTTCTGAAGGAGGAGTGTACAAATAATAATGAATAATAATAATAGTAATGTGATTGTTGGATTAAAGAATATGTGCAATTTTTAATAGATGTCAAATTGTCCTAGCAAATGGTTACAACAATGGACCTTCCTATGATTGAATATGGAAAGATTTTGAAAGAACTGGTAAGACAAAGAAATGACATCTAGTCCATGCCTTTAAAATGCAGACTCTAATGACATTAATGTGTTAACACTATGTTACCTGCAGACTCTAACCACGGAAGTCTGAGTTCAGAGATGTTGCCTGTGTGGAACAGGGGACCGTGTGCAGAACTTGGCCAGAATTTGTCAGAATGTTTCCAGTTTCATGCAAGATGCCAAAAATGTCAGGATTACCTGTGGGAAGGTAAATAATCATTATTTTCTCAAGGTTTCAATAGTATTCTGGTCAGAGGTCAAAATCACACTTTTGCAAGCATCATGGATTCATTTATTTTCCTTCAAGCACTTTTTATGCATGTTTATTTCCATCTAGGGGTGCTCAGCATAGTTTTATAAGCTTTTATTATTCAAAAGTAGGCCAACTTGCTTTTTTCCTTATTTAAAATTCCCTCCTGTTCCTGTGAAACTTTTTGGGGTTAAAGACAGAGAAACACTAATGTGTGCAAAAGAGAAGTAGGAGCAAATTAAGGCACTCTTTCCTTTTTACCACAAGGAAAAAAAATCCCACCACGGAAGCAATCTTCCCATTGTGTAAGCAAATTGTTAGCTACGTGAGTTTTTGTTTTTACATTTTTTTCTTAAGTTTATTTATTTATTTATTTAGAGAGAGCTCAAGCAGGGGAGGAGCAGAGAGGGAGAATCCCAGGCATGCTCCATGCTGTCAGCAGGAAGAGCCCCATATGGGTTCCATCTCATGGAGAGAGATCATGACCTGAGCTGAGATCAAGGGTCAGGTGCTTAACAGACTGAGCCACCCAGGCTTCCCAACTGAGTTTTATTTTTAAGTGGCATTAACTCTTTCCAGCTGGTGGGTAAATCACTAATTAGAATTTAAATATGTAAAGTGGCTCCTCATACAGTCTTTCCCCTCCCAGACCTAGCAAAGAGTGGCCTTCGGTTCCTCCCCAGGTGAGAAATCCTTCTCTTGCCTGGCAGCCCCCCTTCTCCCACCCTTCCCTTAGCTAAAGTCACTCCTCCCACCTGCTAGGGCCCCAACACATTTTCTTTCAAAAGCCACGAGATTTCAATTCCTGTGTTTCTGCATTTCACCTCGCTAAAGGAAGGAAATTCTAAAAAGCAAGGTTGAATAGAAACTGGACCTTTCTGTTATTTCTCCCGAATTGTGAATTGAGTGACTCTGCACCTCTGTTTCATCATTTGGAGACTGGCAATAATATATCTATTTTATACGGGTGTTTTGCAGATTAAATAAAATGGCTGACATACTAATGATTTTCATTATTCAAGTCTTGCTTTTTAAGTCACAGTTATAAGGTTGCATACAGAAACAGAAGTTTTTTTATAACAGAAAAATTTACACAAATACACTGACTGCCTACAAAAATAGTCTCACGCAAACATCCCATCTATGTATCACTAACTTCCTTTCAACCAGTTAAGAACTTTTTTGAATAATCTCTCTCTATCATAAAATAATACAGAAGATGGGAGGGGGGATTGGAGGAAGGTGGCCAATAGATGCAAGCTTCCAGTTATGACATAAATAGGTGCTAAGCATGTAACCTTCAACATGATGACTACAGCTAACCTGCTGTGTGATGTATAGGAAAGTTGGTAAGAGAGATCCTAACAGTTCTCATCACAAGGAGAAATTTTGTTTTCTTTTTGTTGGATCTATATGATATGATGGATGTTAACTCAACCTATTACAATAAGTATTTCACAACATATGTAAATCAGACCATCATACTTTACACCTTATACTTCTATCTGTCACTTACTGCTCAATAAAACTGGAAAAAATATGGAAGAAATCAGATTATATAATACAAATGTCTCAGATATCAATACACATCAGACAATGCATCAGATATGGTACAAATCAGGTAATATAGAATACATGCAATGTGTTTAAAAAAATTTGTTTTTAATTTTAAGTAGACTCCACACCCAGTGTGGAGCTTGAACTCAAGACTCTGAGATTAAGAGTTGCGTGTTCTACCAACTGAGCCAGACAGGTACCCTGAATACATGCCATGTTAATCGACTGCTGCATAGGTAAAACATCAAGGAAAGAATGTTCTAATGTGCTCCCATGTAACTTAAAACTTTTATTATAAAATGCATTTTGTTATAAATGTACAAAGAGGAAAAGAACAAAAACCCAAGTGCCTACATCCTGGATTAAGAAATAAAACATCACCAAAATAGATGAAACTCCCTCTGTGATCTTCCAAATCACATCCTCTTTATCTCCTCAAAAGGAAACTGCTATTTTGAATTTAGTGTTTATTATTTCTTTTCCCTTCTTTATACTGTTATCACATGTATATATATATATAATACACACAGCATATTTGGCAATGTGTTACATGTTTTTAATTTATATTGTCAAAGTATCATTTTTAACTTTAAAACTATGACTCATACAAATATAAAATGAGCACGTGTCAAGATTAATTTGTCCCATTAATGAGGGAATCAGCAAAGTATTAAAGCTGTTACAAAGGAGTACAGGACAGACTGAAGTATTTACAGTCAAAGATAGAATGTTGAAGTCAGATAGCAAAATTAGATATAATTTTGCCCTAAACTATGCCCTAAAGGGCATAAAACTATGCCCTAAAGGGCAATAAAACTATAAGTTTTGCAGTTATGTTTTCTATCAGACCAAAATAATTTATATCTCTACTGGACAAAAACCATTTGCAACTTTTCAATCTAGGATGTTCTCTGGCCCTGAGCAACACTAAGTAGTAAATCCAACAAAAGATCATTTCTTTAGAGAATCAAAGAATCTGTAGGTAGGCAGGCCTTTTAGGCAATGTTTTACATGACATTAAAAAGGTATACAGCCATTTTTTTTTCTTTTTAATTTGAGAGAGGACGCAAACATGAGCCGGGGAGAGGTACAGAGGGAGAGAGAGGGAGAGAATATGAGAGAGAGAGAGAGAGAGAGAGAGAGAGAGAGAGAGAATCTTAAGCAGGCTTTATGACCTGAGCTGAAATCAAGAGTCAGACGCTCAACCGACTGAGCCATCCAGGTGCCCCAACATGCAGCCATTCTTCTGCCTTGTTTCCAAATTTTGGATACTTTTTCTTAACAGTGTAAATATATTGCTTATGTATTCTTTTGCAGCTTGGTTATACAGTATAGTATGGGACAGTTAGCCATATGAATACATGTTCTGATTCATTAATTCACTGATGTGTTGGTCTCTGTAGGCATATCACAATTTACCCATTCTCCTTAAGTGTATTTAAGTTGCTTCCATGTTTTTCTATTACAAACAACCCTTCTACATTTTGTCAAACAATAATTTTGCCTCTTTAATCAATATTTGATTCTTTCCTTGTTCTAAGACTATGTACATAGCTATAATTATAGATATAAGATCTTATAAATCTTATAATAAATAAATCTTATATTTGATAAATATTTTCCAAGAGATCATAAATCTTTTTGTTTTTCCACTATTTACCATACATTTTTGTCCTGATTTTAATTTTTTATTTTTACAATAGATGATCCTTTTTTAATATTTATTTATTTTTGAGAAAGAGAGAGAGCATGAGCGGGTTAGGGGCAGAGAGAAAGGGAGAGAGAGAATCCCAAACGAGTTCCGTGCTATCAGTGCAGAGTCCTGCACGGGGCTTGAACTCACAAACCGTGAGATCCTGACCCCAGCCAAAATCAAGAGTTGGCTGCTTAACCAACTGAGCCACCCTGGTGCCCCTGGCCTTGATTGTAAACAGATTTTCTGTAAGTGACTATTTTCCTCTTTTTCCATATCAATTACTGGTACTGTATATAACAATTCAAAATAGTAGTTTCCTTTTGAGAGAACAGAGAGGTTTTAATGTGGAAGGGGCACAATGGGAGTTTCACGTATTTAGGTAATATTTTATTTCTTAATATAGTTGGTAGGCACATGGGAATTATACCAAAGAACTTCTGTGTCCTGCCCACTTTGTTAAATGACCATATAACTATCAATTAAATTAGATCTCCTTTGAATGTGACATAGGCAATATTAATAATTACTTAAGAACAATAGGCATAAATTGAGACCTCTCCTAGGCAGAAGGGAACGTATGTATTGTAGATTAAAAACAAAATGGCCACAGTATTTTGTGGTTTCTGCCATCAAGAGATAGTCTGCTTTTCCAGTCCATGAATCTGGGCTTGGCCATGGGTCTGTCCTTAGTGAATGAGACATTGGCAAATGTGACCAAAGTGCAGCCTTGAAACATGCTTGTAAATTAAAGCTTGCCCGGGGCGCCTGGGTGGCGCAGTCGGTTAAGCGTCCGACTTCAGCCAGGTCACGATCTCGCGGTCCGTGAGTTCGAGCCCCGCGTCGGGCTCTGGGCTGATGGCTCGGAGCCTGGAGCCTGTTTCCGATTCTGTGTCTCCCTCTCTCTCTGCCCCTGCCCCGTTCATGCTCTGTCTCTGTCTGTCCCAGAAATGAATAAACGTTGAAAAAAAAAATTAAAAAAAAAAATTAAAGCTTGTCCTTCCTCTCTTGCAGTTGGAAACCTATCTACCATATGAACATTTGTGTATCTCCTTTGGAGAAATGCCTATTCAAATCCTTTGCCCATATTTTAATTTTATTATTTTTTTAATGTTTATTTATTTGAGAGAGAGAGAAAGAGGAAAAGAGAGGAAGAGAGAGAGAGAGAGAGAGAG